CCCCCGCCTCCAAGCGGTCCTCTCCACTCCAGGCGACTCCCAAAACATGGTTAGGTCCTCATGATTTGATGGAAATCGTCCATGAAAATCTGATGTCTTCGTGGACTTCGCAAGGCTACACTCATAGGGTGACGTTTTCTGAGGCTCACACTTCGGCACATAGGCCTTGACCAAAATGCAACATCCAAGAAGCGTTCGGTGCAATAGAGGTGAAGTGCTCTCTTCCAATAGATTTAGATACATTTATATACATATATATATATATATACATAACTGGCTTCATTGAAACTGCAACTGTTTCTAGGTACCGTTTCACTCCAGCAGCTGAACTTTCGGGTTTGATATTTATCGCTTGCAAAAGCATGATGTGCCTTTATTGTAGTTTAGTGTAAAGGTACGTTGTAGCAAGTGTCCCAAATCGAGTAGGAATCTCTTCCCCTGTGCCTTTGGTTGCCAAAAACATTTTGCTGCCAGTGCTGCCAGTGGAAAGAAAAAAGGAAACGCTGCTTCGCAACATGGACGGGCCTTTTTTCATTCCTCGCACGGTCCCCTTGCACGCCTGCTCCCAATCAAACTCGTCGTAGGTCTGCACCAAGGTGCCTCTGCGAAGAGACCTCGGTCGTCGTCTCAACGAGGCGGACCAAGTCGTTCCAATCAGCCCCGCTCCGTCCGGCCGGCCACGGAACTCCTTCTGGGCAGCCGGAACTCCTTCTGCGCAGACTCCACCCGAGGCCGCACACATTCTTGGGCCTCGACGACTGTCTCAGGGGGATTGGAGAGCTCAGGTGGGATCTGGACATGAGACTTTGAAGGATGAAGAACCTCACAAATGGCCTCTGTTGATGAATAAAGCACCCCCCAAGCCTGGAGATGTACAGCCATTCTGGTAGGGAGTTTATTCATCAACGGTCTAACTTCAGAATCGTGATCTTTGTTCATGTCCAACCCTTACCTCAGTCCACCACGGAACACTGCGCCGATCGAGAAATCCACGTGGACCCAGGGATGCGGAAACTCCGACCAGCTTGGTGGAGGAAGCTCTTGGAAGCCAGACATCCCTGCCAAGAGATGTAACTTGCGCTCGACTGTGAACTGGCGTCCAAATAGTCTGGGACCAATCCCCAAAGAAGGTTTTGCAGGTTATCCACTTTTCCTGGGTGAGTTCTTCTGATTCTTGCATCTGCTTCTGAAACGTAACGGCCCCCCCCTTTTCTCCGACGGGTCACCTTGACGCCCTCACCGTCGCACCTCACCACACGAGGCAGTGCCAAAGAACACGGCCCAAAACCAGGCATATTCTTCATGCCAAAATCTGCACCAACTCCACGGAGTGCCAACTTTACAGGCCTTTCGGGTTGCACTTTGTGAGTTTTCAGGAAGGCATATCTGACTTGTTCCACGATCAAGGCCACCCTTGTTTTGAGTGAATGAAACTTGGCAGGTTGCAAACGTTTGGTTTCCAGCTGGTTTACTAGGCACCTCTGATGGATTGGGCTCAAGTACCTCCTCTAGCCTAATTACAGTCGAACATCGCTTGAGGTCCATGCTTCCATTCAGGGATACCTACCTGGATCATCCGTTCCAGGTCACCATATACACTCCCTGGAAGAATGGAAGTGGATGGCCAGGGTGCTTGGATGTCCGATGGGGTGTTCCACTTCCATGATTATTTCAGGGAGTATATTGTGCACTACATGACCAGCCAGGACATCTTTTGGGTCTTATGAATTCCACCGTTCAAAGAGACACCTGCACCTCCGACACCCCACCCCCACGAACAGCTCTTCTGTGCCAGACAAACCCTGGGCGGGACCAAGGGCTGGGCTCAAGAATCTGCCCGAAGACATTGCTGTGGATCAAAACCAGGTCTGACCCACATGTCTCGTTACTAGGAGCATACTAGGGGCTCCTGGCATCGCTACTAGGAGCAAGGACGCTACTAGGGGTCTGTTCATTTTCGGGTCCCCCAGGTCTGACCCACAGCATCCCCCACAGCATAAGGGCGGCACTGGGCAGAGGGCCCCTCTGCAGGTGCGTGGACTTCGGCGTCAGATGCCTCAAAATCCGAGGAGCGGAAGAGGAAGGAAAGAAAAAGCAGACCTCCCGTCTGCAGTCGGGAGGCAAAAGGAGAAAAGCAAAAACCTCAAGTATGTATGCTTGTCATCCACATTTGGAGCTTGTTCTTCGTTACAAAAATACGATAACGCCCTAGAATTAGCATGGAAGTGGAACATGGCTCCTTGGAAGACTATTCTGCTTTACAAACAGAATGTTTCCCACGCCCATGTTAGTTTCCAGGGAGAGTCTGTCCATAAATATATACATATATATTAATATATATATATATATGTGTGTTTAAAACCCCTACTTTCCGGGCTAACTTCAGCAAGTGTCGACGTCAACAACCCCCTCCCCTGGTGAAACCTCTCAACGCTCAATAGCCATGGTCAAATGCTCAAATCGACCGACACCGTGGACGTCCCCGACTCTACCCGACGAGTGACAAAAAGACTGTTCATCAGTGATACCTTAACCTATCACCAAGGCCCTATTCTCGATCGAGAGGAACGAGACGAGTTTCACTTTGCAACAATTTGGGTTTGCCATACCAGCAAGCTTCGGCACCAGAAAGCCCTGCGAAATCCAGCCTTGTCACCTCTTTCTGCATCATCACAGTTCCTGCAGCCTGCCTGCAAGTCTTCCGTCTCACCACCTGGTGGGGACGGAGTTCAACGAGAGGTTCAGTGGTCCTTCCAAAATCGAACCCCCCCACTAAAGCGATGGCGCCTCTTCGGCCGAACCCCAAGAAGACGGGGCTGGGTGGCTGGGAACTGCTTGTTTGGGGGACCTCCAAATGACAAGCCAAGCCTAGTGGAGGAATTCCTTTCAATCCAAGCCGAATCAGCTTGTATGCAAGAAAGACGGCCGCATGTTTGGAACCTTGACCTCGTAATCAGCGCACTCCTCAAAAGCCCAAAGACACTAGCCCAAGTATGGTTCCATGATGGCAATATATAAAATAATGTCCGGGTTCAATCCGAAATAATCCAAATTGGAAGTCAAGGAAGATTGAAACAGAACAGAATTGGGAAAAATAGAGCACTGGAGCTGCCTTAGGAAGGTCTCCCCTGTGTTATTTTGATCAGGTCATGCTGCCAGCCTGCTAAAAAGGAAGCAGATTCCAGAACACACACTGCCAATATTTCAGCAGCTTCGCATAGGATACAAGTGGTTAAAACAGGTGGATGGTTGCCACTGTGTGCGAAGCAGGCTTGACAGGCTGACCACATATTGGCAGGTATCTTCCTGACAGCAACCTCCAAGTCATTCCACCGGGTGAGAGTGGCACTGGCTCCAGCCAAAACATATCCTCTTCATTTGGTTAAGACTGCACCTACGGCTACACTCAAAGAACATAATCATGGAAGTGAATGGTATGGCCCCTTGGATGATCATTTTCCTGATATCAAACAGGTGGTCTTCCACGGTCCATGCTTATTTCAAGGAGAGTGATCAAGAACGTTGCCGTCAACCCATGCATGTCACCAAGGATCCAACGATCCAGTCACCCCGTTAGCGGAAAAAGAAAAAACAGTTTTTGGGACGAACTTTTGCTTTGCACTTTCTGGCCCGTCCAAACAACAGCAAGGCACTTGGGGGCCAAGAATCAGGAGACCCAACCAAGGCTTGGGTCCCTGGTGGCCTATCCTGCCCGTTCGACCCAAGTGCGGCCTATGGATCCCAGCACCTGCGAGATGTGGACCCACTCGGACGAGGTGTAGGGACGGTGGGTGGGAGAAATCTAAAGCTCCAACAAGGTTTCTCCAGCTCCAACCAGTTACTAGCGATGGCCTCCAACCCAACAGCGAAGGCCTCTGACCTAATAGCGATGGCATAGCGATGGCCTCCAACCTACTAGCGATC